TTTCTGCTGCAGAGAGCTGGATTTAACCAAGGTGGGGTTTTGCCAGAAAAGTACAATGAAGCTAGAGGGAGGGAAGAGAGTTGAAGGCGTATGCAAGAATGATTACAATGATGGCTAATGGAGTATAAGTTGAGGCATGAGGGCAACGAAGCACAGAAACTAGGCGGAAGGGTGAATAGATCCATGATAGAGTCTGGTGGGGCTAAGTTATTTGTATTGGAGGAAGGAAATTAAATCTAGGCTATGGCTGTGGGATTGAGTGACTAAGACTAAGGAGGACTGAGGTCAGCAAATGTCTTTCCAGAGAAAGCAGATCTGGGCAGAAGGAAATTCTTTCACCTTTTCCCCACCACATCTAACCCTTTATTACACGTGGTAGGCAGAATGCCCCCACCCAAAATGTCTGTGTCCTAATCTCCAAACCTCTTAATACATAACTGAGATGGCAAGAGGGACTTCGGAGATGTAATTAAGGATTCAAGGAAGACTCCCTGATTTCTGGTTTAAGCAGCTGTGTTGATGGTACCATTTACTGAATTAGGCAACAAGTTTCAAGTGAAAAATAATGTGTTCAGTTTTGGATCTGCTAAGCTGAAAATATCGGTGAGATGGAGATGCTGAGTGAGCATATGGATATCCAAACATGGCCAACATTTCAACTGGAAATAAACATTGGGAGTTTCTTCTAAATAGATGGTAATTAAAGCCATGGTCTTTAATGGGCTGGAAGTTTATAAAGAGAAGATAATCCAGGACCAGAAAGTATTTCAAGAATGATCACATAGTCAGTGAATAATAAAGTTTGCAAAAGATGGTAGAACAGGTAAGGGATTTACCCTAGATATGAAGAGGATGAGGCCATGATAACAGGAGATGGAGGAAGGAGTGCTATAAATGTACTGGTTTGCTATTGCTGCTCTAATAAACTATTCAAACTTAGTGGCTTAAAACAACACAAATTATCTTACAGTTGTGGAGGTCAGAAGTTTGAAACAGGTCTTAAGGGGTTAAAGTTAAGGTGTCAGCAGACCTGTGGTCCTTCCAGAGGCTCTAGGGGAGAATCTGTGCCTCACCCTTCCCAGCTTCTGGAACACAGAGGCTGCCCACATTCCTTGGCTTGTGGCCACATCATTCCCACCTCTGCTTCTGTTGTACTATCTTCTCTGACTCTGCACCTTCTTTCTCCCTCTCATAAGACCCTTGTGATTACACTGGGTCCATCCAGAAATAATCTCTACACCTCCAGAGCCTTCCCTGAATTCCTTCTTTCCCCTACACTACATTTATCTGAATCAATACTGGTCTGTTCATTCATCCTCCTTGATCTCCCCTTCAAACCTAGTCCCTACATTGCATCTAGGTTTAAGTAAGCAATTTTGAACTCCCCTTGATCAATATGATTTGAACACCTTAATATGATTCCTGCCTGGCGCTCCCTTCTCTAACCTTTTCCCGTAGACAACCACAGTTAATCCTTCAAGTCTAAACCTCCAGCAAGGTGAGGTCCTCCAGACGTCCACTTGTATGGAATCCTACGATGAATTATAGACCAAAACGGCTGTCCCATGACTGTCCATTCCCAGCTTCTGGCACAAGAGCATGGCATATAATAGAAACTCAGTAACCAATCAATGAATTATTAATCTCTGGGACTTTAAAAAGCCAGACCCTATGTGAAATCATTTTCCCTATATAATTTGCAACAGAACAAAAGTCTCACCTTTAAAATAATAAAAGTTCTGTAATGTTGGAGGCCATTACACACTTTGCCAAATTCTGCCCTTCACTTCAGAGCAGGTGTCCTATAAGCCAAATCCAGCCTGCCACAATTCTGCATAGTTTTATTTGAACACAGCCATGCTCATTGGCTTACATATTGTCTAAGGCTGTTTTCACACTGCAGCTGAAGAGTTGACAGGGACCACAGAGCCCACAAAGCCTAAAGTATTTACCATCTGACTGTGAACAGAAAGCTCGCCAATTCCTGCTTTAGTGGCTTCTTTGATGACCTAAGCTACAAGCAGAATTTATCCAGTGATCAAGTCATAGCAAAACAGAGTAAAATGTCTGGCTGATTTCCTTTTGATACTATCTACAACACTCTCTGGTCCTTAGATCTTACAGGTAAAGAGAGACACTCAGCCCAAGCAAAGTAGGGGGAAGAGAAAGAGAATTTGATTCCTCACTTGTTCTTCATTCCAAATCTAGGCCCAAGTTTACCCACCTACAAACTATTGAACACACTGTAATTGAAATGCTAACTCACTTCACAGAAGAACTACAAAGAGCAATGATAAAGCAGTCTGAAAATGAAATTCACTGGTAGCAGAAGAACACTAGCCTAATTTAGGAGCAAAATTCCTACTTCTGTTTTCTAATTACTATTTCAGAACTGTTAATTACAAGTATTAGACACCCCTGGTGGAGTTTATGGCCTGAATTTTTAAAAGTCAGCTGTAAAAAACTGCACCATCACATTTTCTCTTATTGTAACTTGAACATGTGCTGGAACCAGGGTAACAATCACCACCCCCCACAAAGAAAAACACTAAAGGACAGGGTACAAAATAAATAAATAAACATTAAAAGGCCCTAAACTTTGGCCAGCTGCTATGTATTAGCTACTGAAACTTCCAGTCTCAAACTCCCCATCTGTAAAATGGCATTAACACTGATGGATTAAGGCTGTTTTTAGGTAATGAATTTTAAGTGTTCAGTAATTTTGAAGTTTGTATATAATTAGAGGATAAGCATGCTATCTCATAGCATCTGTAAATATGAATGAAATCTATTAGTGGAGTGAATGCCAGCGCAAATCACTTATAAACACCTTATACCAAAGACGAACCATTAATAACAACTAGTGTTTACCAAACGTCAGCACTGTGCTCTACTTGCATTTTCTCATTTCATCCTTACAACACACTGAAGTAGATAAATGTTTCTATTATGCTAATTTTACAGATGAAGAAAATGAGATACAGACATTCAGTTGCTACAAGTCATCCATCTCATAAGCGTTGCAGCCAGGACTCAAAATAAGGTGTTTATGATCACAGTACTACATACTGCACCCCTTTAAGTCAGGGACGGATATAAATTACCAACATGAAACACAGCATCACAGGGTTAAAATACATGCTGTCTGGGCAAAGATGGTGGATTGAGCACCTGCTACTACTTCCACTCCCTCTGGAAATTCCATTAAACAACAAAGATTTTTAAGATGTTTGTTTAAAGACTGTTTAGGTTTAAACCTGAAAGGATGGAAAAGGAGGAGAGGAGACAATAGCAACAAAGTAAGAAGCTGGAAAGCAGGTGGACAAGTAGTAAATAACCTGGTAGAAAACCGAATTCTGAGTCAGCAATAGGAAAATCAAAACAAACAACACCCAATTTACACCACAGAATTCCTAAAAGGTTCAGGAACTGGTGGTTTCATGTACCTTTGGAAGTAGGGCACGAAGGCATACACACTAAAAAACAAAAAATTGGTTGAAGGTAGTTGGATGCTCTCTGCAACTCTACAGTTACGTAGCCTCTCTTCCCCAACTCCCTCCCCAGATTAGAATTTTCTTTTCTGAAAAGGGTAAAACAGTTCTCTGGATTCTGAGATACCAGGCAGTTATGGGTATGGGTACTGTACTCAATATAGAGACTCAGTGAACAGACACATACTGGACACGAGATATGGAAAACAAGAGACCCAATACAGGAGAAGAGGGAAAAGGAATTCCCAGGATGCTGCAGAAGGGAGACCCGAGAATACAGCCACGCATCAGGCATAGAAGACTATCAGCGACTTAGATAAATGGCAAAAAGATTTAGTGTGATAAGTTCACAGAAAACTAAGCCTAGGAAAATCAAAAAGATGTACAGGAAAAGAAAACAACAAACAGCATTTGGAGTCCTAAGGAAATCAATCTAATCAAAATCAACACTAATAAGTACACTGGAAGGAAGTAGAAATGACATGCATGAGAGATGGAGGAAAGGAGAGTGAAGAGACACAAATCCTTACATGCATGGAGAAGTCAGTAGGCAATGTCTAAAACAGAAAAATCATAAGGTAACAACATAATCGTGTTATTTAGGGACAAGAAGGTAAACTCAATATAATTAGCTAAAAAGAAGTGAATGTAGTTGTACCTGGGAAGAAGGTTAAGGACTTTCCCCTTCTCCCAACAAACTTGGAGAACTACCTGACTTAAAAATATAGCGTTTTCCCCCTTTGGTGGGATTACATATTCTCAGCATCAAGCAGTAATGTTGCCTTTCATAAAGATTGCTTAAGAATAAAACCATGTTGTTTTATCAGGATTAGCAAATTCTCCAGTCCAAAACAAGAGGAACTCAATTTAATGCAGTTTGTAATAGTCACAACATTACAGTAGTCTCACCAGTGACTGCTGATTTGCAGCAAAAAGTGGGTTAAGAAAAATAAAAGCCCTATTTTTCTTAGTTGGTACATTTATTAAAAATATAGGGCTTCCCTGGTGGCACAGTGGTTGAGAGTCCTCCTGCTGATGCACGGGACATGGGTTCATGCCCCGGTCCAGGAAGATCCCACATGCCACAGAGCGGCTGGGCCCGTGAGCCATGGCCACTGAGCCTGTGCGTCCAGAGCCTGTGCTACGCAACGGGAAAGGCCACAACAGTGAGAGGCCCGTGTACTGCAAA